TAGGCTCAGGGAGTATCCCTCCATGTGGGATGGGCTCCTAAAGTCCATTCCTATGCTAGGGATAAGTACTGATCCACTATAAGAGGCCCCATGGATTTCTGAGGTCTCACTGACACCCACATTCAGGGTTTCTGGATCAGTCCCATACTGGTTTCCCAGCTATCACTCTGGGGACCAAGAGTTCTCCCTTGTTCAGGTCAGCTGTTTCTGTGTGTTTCACCAGCCTGGTATGGACCCCTTTGCTCATCAGTCCTCCTTCTCTGCAACTGCATTTCAGTTCAGTTCATATTATATTATTTCTTATCTTGCTCTCTTCTGTTGGTGCTGCTGTTCAACCAGCAGTGCTAACTAGAAAGGGCAAACTAAGTGAAAAAAAAAAAAAGGTGGGGGCCTAGCAAGCAAGCTAAGTAAAAAACAACAACAACAACAACAACAAAACTGCTATGGCAGCTCAGGTACCAGCTTCCTACATCTAGGAAGTTTGAATGCAGTTCCTGGTCATGAACCTACAAACAGGCCTCAAGCTTTAGGCTTGGCTCTCACAAACATAGACGTGTACAGAGCCAGCTGAGAGCCATGCAGAAGATTCAGATGTAGCTTAGCAGTTTAAAGTTTTGCCCATGCTATCAAAAAGACTAGAGATACAAAGTAAAAGAAGTCCAGATCAAAAAACCTGCAAACAGGTTCCAGTGTGTTTTACAATGTACATAGGTTTAAGAAAAAAGAAAATGGGTATAGACAGTCATACAAAGAAATAAATAGATTAAAAATTATAAGCAAGCTAGAACAAGGAGAGGAGGACATCAGAGGCCAGCCACCCAGCTACACAGCAAACCATGGAGTAAGAGTGAAATTAAGATTACAGAAATAGAGAAAGATAAAAGCCCAGAGGCAAAAGATAGATGGGATAATTTAAGATAAGAAAAGCTGGATAGAAACAAGCCAAGCTAAGCCTGGGCATTCATAAATAACATGACGCTGTGCGTTTTATTTTGGAGCTGGGTGGCAGCCCCCCAAAAGAGTAAAAAGCCAAAGAATAAAAAGAGTAAAACAAACAACAACAGAGGTCGTTTTATTGCTCACAGGGATAAGTCTGTGTATATTCCTTTTTACACCAGGGAAGCATACAAACATAAAATCTTGTAGGTTCTTTATCCTAATAAGCCAGATGAATATTTTTTAGGCAACATTCTCACTAAAAATGAGGTTTCTTTTAAAAGGTTGTTAGGGTGCTAGTTGTATAAATACTACTGATGGAATCTAAGCTCTTGAATTTAAAAAGAGACAATATTATTTCCTATCCATTACATAATATTTTATGTATTATATCCAAAGCATATTCAATACTTGGTTAAAAATTGGAAAAAAAGGGGCTGGAGAGATGGCTCAGAGGTTAAGAGCACCGACTGCTCTTCCAGAGGTCCTGAGTTCAATTCCCAGCAACCACATGGTGGCTCACAACCATCTGTAATGAGATCTGGTGCCTTCTTCTAGTGTGCAGATATACATGGAGGCAGAATGTTGTATACATAATAAATAAATAAAATCTTTTAAAAAATTGGAAAAAAAATCATTCAACAAGACACCTTACTTTCTTGTATTTTTTCCTAGCTGAGGAATATCTTAGCTAACTACATGTATTTTTACAATTATTTTTCAGGTATTTTTTAATTATCCAATGATTTCTCACCTTCAGTTCCCTCAATCTTCAACTTGGAATATAGTTTTGGTTTTTTGAGACAGGGTTTGTGTAGCCCTGGCTATCCTGGAACTAGCTCTGTAGACCAGGCTGGCCTCAAATTCACAGAAATCTGTCTGCCTCTACCTCCCCAGTGTGGGATTAGAGGGGTGCACAACCACCACACAGATTCTTATGCCCTTGTTTTTATTCTATATGAAAGATTTCCTTCTTTCTCCCTTAAATAAGCCCCAGATAAAGATGGCTGGTGTGTGACTTAGTAAAGGAGCAATATAAACTAACAAATATCAGGATGGGGATGCAGTTCAGTAGCCAGAGTGGTTGCACAGTATACACAAAGCACTACAAAAACAGGCATGATGGCACCTGCAACACCTGCAATCTCAGCACTCAGGGGGTGAGGATGAGGAATTCATCCTTGGTTACATGGTCAGTTTAAGGCTAGTCTGGAGTACATGAGAGCCTGTCTTTATTAAAAAAACAAGTCAACCAAAATCTTTTCTAAACAATAGAATATTAGTAAAAATTTATCTTAACAGTTCTGAGAAACTGTTAAGTACTCACAAAGTTTTCACAGCTATTGTGCATTAGAGTTTATGTACAACTACAACTTAGTCTCTTGTTACTCATTTAAGAACAGACAAGCATGGCAGCTCACACCTAACCTCAGCACTCAGGAGGCAGAGAAAAGTGGATCTCTGATGGGGGATGTCCTTTTGTGTATGCTGTGAATATATGTTTCTCTCTCTTTTTTTTCTTTAAATTAGAAACAAGCTTCTCTTACATGTCAATCACAGTTCTCACAACACTATGACAACCCCTTTCTGCTCCCCAGGGAGGGTGAGGCCTTCCATGGGGGAATCTTCAAATTCTGTCAAATCATTTGGAGCAGGGCCTAGACCCTCCCCAGTGTGTCTAGGCTGAGAGAGTATCCCTCTATGTGGAGCGGGCTCCCAAAGTTAATTTGTGTACTAGGGGGAAATACTGATCTACAACCAGTGGCCCCATACATTGTCCAGACCTCCAAACTGACATCCTCATTCAGGGGGTCTGGAACAGTCCTATGCTGGTTTCCCAGCTATCAGTCTGGGGTCCATGAGCAACCCCTTGTTCACGTCAGCTGTTTTTGTGGGTTTTTCCAGCCTGGTCTTGACCCCTTTGCTCTTATTGGTTGATGAATAAAGCTGTTTCAGCCAATGAATGGGCAGGATTTAGTCAGGTGGGAAATACAAACAGGGATAGAGAAAGGTAATAGGCAGACTCAGGGAAATGTCACGTAGGTACCGGGAATGTAGGACTCCTGGACATTCTCTGGTAAGCCAAGACCACATGGAGATACATAGATTAATAGAAATGGGCTAATTATTAAGAGAGAGCTAGCCAATAAAAAGCCTGTACCATTGGCCAAACAGTTTATAATTAATTTATATTAATTATAATATATAATTATATTATATATTATATATTGTGTATTTATTTGGGACCAAATTGCTGTGGGTCTTGGCGGTCAGAAGCTTCCATCAACAGATCTCTGTGAGTTCAAGGCCAGTTTGGTATAGGTAGCAAGTTCCAGGACAGCCAGGGCTACATAGTGAGACCCTGTCTCAAAAACAAAAAAACAAACAAACAACAACAACAAAAAACCAAGAAGGAAGAAGAAAATTGAATTATGGAAAAGGAATTCTTACATACCAGAAATGTCATCTTCTTCATTCCACCCAGGACGATTTACTCTCTCCTCCACAATTGTTCCTGTTCTCTTCTTCAATAAATACTGCCTCCCAATTGTCATTTTTCCTGCCCTTTTGGCACCTTTCACAATTGTTTTTGAGAAAGTTCTGATAAACACAAGAAAAAATCATTTTAATATAAAGGCTCTACTAATACTTTTGACATCTATATTACTCACAGTTTCTTCTTCAGACCTACATACTTATGGACAGTATGTACTATGGTATATATTTTTGTTAAGCTTCTTAGTATCACTTTCCATATTGTGGAAAACTACTTTCCTATAAATGTCACTGCCATTAGGACACTGATTCAGGCAAAAAGTACAAGAACTTAAAGTGTGACACAAATATCTCTCCCTCTCTCCCCAGGGTCTCTTATATCTCTTATATCTCTGGATGTCCTGGAATTTGCTATGTAAACTAGGTTTGTCTTGAACTCACAGAGATCCACTTGTCTCTGCCTCCTAAGTGCTGGGAATAAAAGGGGTATCACCATGCCCAGCTGATTACTCAAATCTTAAACCCCCTGGTTTAGCTTTTGGGCATTCTCAAGCCTATTCTGTTATCCATACCACCATCTCCACCATGGCTCCCATAAATCACATTAGCAAGTCTTCAATCATGCACTGAAATTCTCTCTCTTCCTTCATATCAAACTTTCTCTGAGGTCACATGACAATAATGCTTGGCAACACATTTCTGAAATGTTTTAGATATTTAGGTGTGCATGATACCTTTTCTCTAGCTGTAAACCTGCTCAAGTATAGAAAAGGAGTAATTTCTCTTTAGGAGGATAAAATAACAACTCAGATATTGAGAATCCTTCTGAAAATCAGTTTTAATTAATGAGATAAGAAATATTAGGAGTTGACAAAAAAGAGGGTGAGAGGGGAGAAAGAATCCAAAATCTCAGGACCCAAAGCTACACAGAGAAACCCTGTCTCGAAAAACCAAAAACTCAAAAACAAAAACAAAAACAAAAACAAAAAGAAGACAAAGGAGCTGAAAGGACCAGCAAAATGGTTTAGTGAAGATAGAGGTGTTTGTTACTGATGACCTGAGTTCAATCCCTGGTTCCCACATGGTGAAAGGAGGGAACTGAGTCCCACAAGGTGTCCTTTGACCTCCACACACAGGTGGCTCACAGATGTACACAGACACACAGACACACAGACACACAGACACACAGACACACACAGACACACACACACACACACACACACACACACACACACACACACACACGGTATGAGAAAAGCCATCATTAATGAAATATAGGTTACTTCCTCTCAGTTGGCTATGGAAGGGCTGAAGGCAAGAGACCCATCTTCCCTCTTACCGAAAGGAGGTGTTCTTTTCTTTCTGCTTGGGTAAAATGATTTGTGGGGTAGTTTGTCCAGCAGCAAAAGCAAAAGTACTAAAAATGGACTGAGGATAACGGAACTTCATTAGCTGTTTCTTAAAGATGTCTACCACTTCTGGACTGACTTCTTCATCAAATGCTACTTTAATCAACTAGAGATAAAAGAGACAGACATATCAGAAGCATAAAGAATTTGACAACTTATACTCTCATCACTGAAAGCAAACAAAAGTGAACAGAAAAATAACAATGTTAAATAGAAAAAATATTAGGAATAGAATTATAACTGTAGAAGTTATAGGATTTTGGAAGTTGCAGGGATTTTGGATAATATGAAATACAATTTTTAAATTTAAAAGAAAAAAGTATGACTAGCCAGATGGCTCAGCAGGTAAAGGTGTTTGCAACCTGAATTTGATTCCTAGAATCCATGTAAAGATGGGCAGAGAGAACTGACTCCACAAAGTTATCCTTTGACCTCTACATACACATTATGGCATGCATGTGTATGTACATACAATAAAATAAAGCTTAGAAGTGAGGTTCAGGAAAGTTTACTTTCAATATAGACTGTCAGTTGACGAGAAAAATTATGTTCTTGAAGTTGGTTTTCTTTCAAACTATCTTTTCAATAATGAGACTGGGAATTAACCTAGGTGAAATAGAGAATGTGTCTGTTCTGTTTCTCAACTGTTAGATCTAGAGAATGAGCGTAGTCTAATAGGGTTCCTTCTTATCCATAGATACAAACAAATCTAGGAATAGAAAAGGCAGTTTCACAAGAATCACAAATAGTGTAGACAGGCAACATTTAAGTATAGAATTCCTTGGTAGCTGGAACAGTAAGAAGATCCCTAGTAGTCAAGGCTGTCAGGTGATATGACAAGGGTTTGGGTTCTAAACCAGCAGCTTCACTGAAAGAGCACAGGAACCCTGAGGTGAGGCCCCTCCACTAGAAAGGGAGAGGCAAGCACTGGGATTCTTGCAAGTCTGAGAGGTCAGCAACAGGAAGCAAAGAATAGGAAAATCAAACTATTATAGACATGGACATTAAAAAAGAAACAAGGAAAAAAAGGTCCCTTCTCCCACGCACAGTACACATCACTGTTTCTAAAGGTTTGGTAAGTCAAAAGCTTCTGGAAAAGTCACTGTTTCATAGAGGGTCATTCCTGACAATAGTATCTTAGCTCCAGCTAAACTTTTCAGAGTTTTACTTTTCCCACAAAAAAAGCCATAGAGTATTTGCTTCTGAAAAGGACAGTTATTTTTACCTATAGTTTTATCAGTAGGAATTGAGGAATAAGTTGTCAGAGAACAAGAGCCATTGTGTATCTAACTATCAATTTTTTGATCAAGGGAATCCTGAAGTGTAGTGTCACATCCAAAGCCAAAGACAACCCTCCCAGACACTCGCCTTCTTACCCCTAGCATCTAACTTCTGACCCTATGACCACAGAAAATAGATACATCACTAGATCTGTAGAAGATTTTTTTTTTAAATTAGAAGGCTTTCTTTCTTGATACATGCTGAATATTGTGTATATGAAAACAAAAAGTTGAAAATACTCTAAAAACACCATGTGAGTTGGGTTTTGAAGTTTTACATTAGGGACACTCAAGTGATAGAGTCTATGCAAGTATTCTGAAATCTGAAATACTATGGTGTACCTGGAAAGATGCTGATGTAATCTGCAGCCCTTCTTGCATGTTCTGCTGTAGCTGGTTCTGCATGGTTATCTTCTTCTCCTTGGTGATGGAGGCAATGGGAAAGCTCCGCACAACAGTCTGTTCACCAACTGTAGGAAGATGGGACACAGACTCAGCAATAGCACTTTATAGCTAAGGTCTAGAATCTCTTCTGAAGAATTGTATCAGCAGAGGACAATGCCAGGGATGCAGTGAGAGAAAACACCAAGATCTAGAATCTTACACAGTAGGGTTTTTTTTTTTTTTTTTTGTAAAGACAAGGTTTCTCATGCTGAGTGTGGTGGCATAGGCTTTACATACACTCAGGAGGCAGAGGCAGGCAGATCTTTGAGTTTGGAGCCAGCCTGGTCTACAGAGTGAGCTCTAGGACAGCCAAGGCTCCCAAAGAAATCCTATCTCAAACAACCAACCAAACAAACCAAAGCAACACCTGCACCCCCCCCCCCAAAAAAAAAGAAAAAAAAAGAAAAAGACAAGGTCTATGTGCAGTCCTGGCTGTCCTGGAACTTACTATGTAGACCAGGCTGGCCTTGAACTCACAGAGATCTTCCTGCCTCTGCCTCCAAGGGCAGGGATTAAATGTGTGCATCACCACACCCAAATCACTTACTAGTTTTATTGTACTGCAATTCACTCCTAAGACATACCATTTTTTACAGACTATAGAACTGGGATATCTGCTAACCTCATCATTTCTATCTCCTTTACCTATTGTGTGCATATAAAATCACCTAGCTTAAGGCAGTCATACAGGAATGGGCTTTATACTGAAAGGAAAGCCAAGATAGTTAATGTAATGATAAAACAAAAGAGAACATATTTTTGGGGGGTGGGGGTGGGGAGAGAAAGTTTGTTATTATAGTTTGTCTACAAACTCATGATTTTCTTGCATCACCCTCACAAGTGCTGGGATTATAGGCTTCATTCCTGGAAATTTTTTCCACATGTAGTAAAAGCTATTTGTTAAGTTTCAAACCCAGGACAAATAACTGAAGTACCTATTTAACATATCAAAATGGGCTGCCTGGTTCTCCCAGCATCCTTCAGTCCCTACCTATTACAGGGTCCTCCTGGCTTGTATACCCTGCCCCCTACCCTGAACTCTCTTGTCCAGGGCCTGGGGTGCTCTTTCCTATATAATCCAGACATTTTGGTAACCCACCTCTTTTATACTTTTGGCTTCCTGGCTGCTGTACCTAGTTCCCCTCTTTTCCTCCTTTCACCCACCCCCCCATGGCTCAGCTCAGTCTGGTCATGTCCACTTTGGACTCTCCCAGATGTCCCTGCCTCTGACTATGCTCTCCCTTATAACTACAATAAACTTTCTTCTCTACCATACCTAGGAGCCGTCATGTCTTTCTATGTCTTTTTTCATTCAGTATGGTTCAATATTTCTTCCAGAAAGCCCTTGGAAGATGAGACTAGATGTGTGTCCATGAGTTTTAGGAATTTAATATTTTATAAAACAAGAATGTGAAAATCCAAACTACCTATGAGTATGAAGATACATCTAGAAAAAGAAATATAATGGCCTTCCTTGGACAGTTCCCAGGTCTCCATTGGGGGAATGTCACATGAACACTACTGTCACATGTGAGTCACAACTCCTCAGTTCAAAGGAACTAAAACTCAACGGTTTGGGTGCTTCAGAAAAGGAGACAATCTCTATATGCTGGATGGGTAGAGAATCATTTCTGCAAGACGTGGGAAGGAAGGCAACTTTGAAGAGGGAAGAGGGAAGGCATTTTAGGCAATGTGACAGATAACATGATAGAAACAGCAATGAAGGCCTCATAGCCAGCGAGCCAGAGCAGGGAAGACATGGACTAGGATTATTGGATTTAGAGGCTTACATATTTGTTCACTATCCTCAGAATTCCTCATTCTCTGGATTTGTCAGTCTTCATCCTGAAAAATCCTGACTATCCATTTATTCAATTTATATCCAGAGGCTAAGCAAAGCTGGGATATACATTCAGTTTAAGTCCTAATATGTATTAAACAACTATATAATGCATGGAAACCCTCCAGGTGTCTATGTGTTAGTAAAGGGGACATTTTAAATTAGAAATTTAAAAAGAAATAAAAAAGGTTTTCTTTGCCAAAAACATTTTTCTAAAACCTACAATTAACATTAAAATTGCAAAGAAAAGGGAACAAAATGAGATTTCAATACTAAGCCTACCTTTTCTCTTTCCTGCATTTGAAATGATACATAAATTAATCTGCATGGACTGAATAACATCTCAAGTACCATACAGGGATCCCTGCTCTGATTGCATGTGCTGGATCATACCTAGCTGGTCATGTGGTGTCCCTCTGAAGAGAATTCTGTATGTAGTAAGGAACAAGGCCCCTTCTGCAGGCAGGAGCTGAGGACCTCCGAGGAGACCTCCAGTGGCTTCTTCTCGACCATCAGGATCCAGTAGGACTCGGAGACCTTCACATACAATTTCTTCTCCTGGCAGTAGAGCTGGTCGAAGAATCTTGGGCTAAGAATAGGTAACTGCTTAAAAGCAACTCCTGTGGGGTTTCGATCATTAGTCCCAGGTTACCTTCTTACATATAATCTGGAAACCCTGAGCCAATCCCAAGCTTGAATTGGGAGGAAACAGACATAATATTTCTAGATCCAAGTATAAAAAGGTTCTTTGCAGCATTGCTTTGTAGCAGTAAAAACACAGGGAAATAACTTGAAAGTTTAAAATGTCTATTCAAACCATCATTGTTCAGCCTTTTATAAACTAAAATGTCAGAGAAAAAGCATTAAGAATATGAATAACTTTGCATATTTCTTTTATACTTAAACTTTACCTAAAATAATACTATACTGTAAACTGAAGAAACAAATCCTTAAATGGATTTGTTTGTCTGTTTTTTGGAGATAGTGTTTCTCTGTGAAACAGCCTTGTCTATCCTAAAACTCACTTTAAAGACTAGGCTAGCCTCAAACTTACAGAGATTCACCTGCCTCTGCCTCAAAAAAATGTTTTTTGGACAGGGTTTCTCGAGAAATTAAAGGTGTGCCCATCATAAGATTTTTTTTTTATTAATACAGAACATCATATACTCAAGAATTCCTCATTCTATTGCATCTACTTCCTAAGCACTGAAGTTACAGTTGAGTGCTGCCACTCCTGGCACCATAGTTAGCTTTTGTTGTTTGTCCTGGCTGGCTTGGCATTCACTATGTAGACCAGGCTGGTACTGAACTCATATAGAGATCCACCTGTCCCTGTTTCCTTAGTGCTGGGACTAAAGGCATGCACTGCCATGGCTGGCCATGGATTTTTTTTTTTTTAAAGGGTTGTACTTTTGGCCAAGTAATGAACTTTACACATGAGAAATTTAGCTTAGAGTTCAGTATAAAGGAACAACATGATAAGATTCCTCTTGGGAGACATGTGCAAGGAAAACAATCATTGCCCTTGAACATCTGTGTTTTAATCAGAAATAAAAACTATCTAAGTAAGTAAGGTGTATTGGCACATGCCTTCAATCCAAGCACTGGGAAGGCTGAAGCAGGTGGATCTTTGTGAGTCTGAGGCCAGCTTGATCTACATAGTGAGTTCCAGGACAGTCTCAGAGCTACACAATGGGATCCTGTCTCAAAACAAAATAAAACAAACCAAAACCACTAAATCAAAAGATAAAAATAAAAAACCCATCCAAAATACCAAAACCCCAAAATGACCTAAATCAGCATTATTCTTTTTTTTAGGATCTAGGAATCTTAGAAGTAAATACAGAAATCAAAGTGTATTGACTATATCTTAAGCCTCAGGCAGAATTGCTGCTCCTACCTGTGTGGCTTCTGATCACCCCTTTGGGTATACTTTTAATAGTTCTGTCTGAGAGCTAAGGACCCAAATTCTAGTCAGCAACAGGCGTGAGGTCAGTAGCAAGATAACTATCCGAGTGGCTTCTTCAAATACAGATTTCTAGGGTCCCAGGGTTTTCTAATCCAGGAGACCAGGGACTCCAAATCCTAATTTCCCTGATGTTTCTTGTGGACAGCCAGATTCAAGAACCCAGTACTCTTAAGGTAACTGTTTAAAATCTTTTCTTTTGTAGGGGGTGGGGAGGGAGGTATATAAACTCTGGGCTTGGGCATTAGAATTATGCATAATTTGAAGGTTGAGTCAGGGGTAGATTAGAAGAAAGGGTATGTGATAGGTAGGGTTTTTAGTTGGGGGGTGGTCGGGAAGGAAGGGAGAGAGAAGGGAACTGGGATTGTCATGTAATTCAATCTTGTTTGTAATTCAAATAAAAAAACCTTAAAAAGAATTATGCATAATTTATATGACCTCCATACAAAAGTAGAGTTAGCAAGAGGTTATTATTGTTCTTTTGTTGAATCTCAAAAAAACAGCATTTGGATTTCAGCAGTTCACAAAATTCTGTATGGGATACTCCCCAGAACTTTTAACACATCATTACAATTGTCTGTAAATAGCCAAGATGGCACTGTCTAGAGCACAGAAGCCCATTGCTGCTGTGTTTTGAAAGGGCTATTGCACCTTGAAAGCACACAGTGTAGAGTAATTACCTTCTGGATAGGTGGAAGTCTTCTACTCTCTCGATGTACTGCCTCTAGGGTCTCAATGTGCATAGCTACAATTCCTAGGATGAAAATAAACCAGGGAGAACAAAAGCAAATTCCAGATATTTTAGAATGAAAAACTAATCAAAGTTTGACAGTTCCTCCAAATGTTAAAATATAATAACCATGTAATCCATAAAATTCTATTCCTAGGTATATAACTCTAAAGAATTGAAAACAAGAACTCAAACAGATACCTGTAGGCAAATATTCATAGAATCATCATTCGCAATCTCCAAAAGTGGAAAAACCCATCTCCATCGACAAATGAATGGCTGAACAAATAAGATATATCCATAGAATGGAATAGTATTCAACCATAAAAAAATGAGTGAAGTAACACATGGATGAACTCTGTAAACATTGTGCTAACTGAAAAAGTTGCACACAACTTTAAAACATTATATGATTCTACATATGTAAAATTGCTAGAACAGAAAAGTTCATGGAAACAGAAAGCAGGTTAGGCATTTCCAGACAGGGACTGAAGAAACAAAATTTATTACTTAATATTAGTTACTGAGTATCTCTGTTTTAGTGATTGAAAAGCTTAGGTAAGAATGGTGATTTATAGAACACTGTGAATGTAATTAATGCAACCTTTATACTATGTTTTGCCATAGTGTAATAAAACTTTAGAACATGTCATGTTGGCAAACACCTATAATCCCAGTACTTGGGGAGCACAGGCTAGGGATCAGGAAATCAAGGCCAGACTCAAGGCCAGCCTGGGTACACTTTGCATGTGAGGATAGCCTGTGTTCCACAAGACCTTGCCTTAGAAAATGAAACAACAATAAAAGAAACAAAAAGCAAATCAGAGAACAGCAAGCAGCAGCACAGGTGTGCTGGGGCTTAACTACCTGCAACGCTGATTGATTACCTGGTATCATGCAGTGGAGACTCCTGATGTGGTCCTGAGTCACTCCACTCTCTGTACAAACCTTGTCAATAAATCGGGCAATGAACCTTACAACGGAGTTGGCAACATCATTATTTTCTGAATCTTCAAACCCACTCTCTGTATCATAGCTCTCAGCTACACTTCCTGCAATACTAAGAGAGCCAAGGGAAGAAATCATGGCCAGGCTTCAAATTAAAAAAAAAAAAAAAAAAAAAAAAAAAAAAAAAAAAAAGAAGAAGAAGAAGAAGAAGATGAAGAAGAAGAAGAAGAAGAAGAAGAAGAAGAAGAAGAAGAAGAAAACAACATCATAGTCTCTATACAGAGGAACTGAAGCTCTACAAAAGAGGTGTACGCTCAGTAGGAGGGACACAGTTAACTCTGTGGTTTCTTTCTGTAAGTGGCAGGAGTGAAAAGTTACGGTCTATGTGCCTATGTTTAAACATCATTTATAAATGCTACCTTCTATGTGCCTATGTTTAAACATCATTTATTGGACTAAGATCTATTTTTGTAAGCAATACCTGCTGTTACTCTCCAAAAAGGAACTTAAAAATCACAGAAAATAAAGCAAAGAATACAGCATTATTTACTATCTGCTACCAGAACCTTCTAAAAAAAACTTGTCCTTCCAAGTTAATCATTACAGAGGCAAGTGGAATGTGGCTGATGATAGTGACTGTGGAGCATGTACCTTGGTAGACAGAGTAAATGAATCCTTTTGAGAAACCTACACGTTCTTTCACATGGAAGAATGTGACTGTTATGACCCTTTCTCTTGCCAGAATTTCTCTTCCAGCTCCCCTGCACCCCCACCCCTGCATGTAAATCACAACCCTTAGAGCCATTGTGAAGCCACATTCTTCTGTAGGTGATAAACTCATGAAAGACAAGGCAACACATTTGAAATGAAATGAAGCAGAGGACTGACAATAAAAAGAAAAAAAGGAATCTGACAAAAGTTTATGGGAACTACAACTATCAGGGTGTTGCAGTACCTATTACTAAAGAGCAAAAACTGCTGCTCAGTGGTGAGTTCATTTATTTATTCATTTAATCATCTGTTCAGTTAAATTTTATTACCTAGCACCTACTATCTGCAAAGATGTAGAGAACAGAACAATGAACACAACAAAGAAAGGACACAGACAATATGCAAATGTGAAAATATGTCAGATTGTGATGTGGTGGACTCCTGTGGGAGACTGATAGGATTATTACAAGCTTGAGGCCAGCCTAGTCAAAAAACTCCAAACTCAATAAATACCACACCCCCATAAACCAAAAACAAAAATTAAAGAGAAAAGAAATCAAGTTATGAAAAAAATAAAACAATCAGTAAAAAATAGTAACAAACAATCTGGACACTTAAAAGAGAGCAAAGCCTATGTAAGTCATTGGGAATGGGAATGTATCCTTGTGGCAGTTTTTGCTTTGGTCCCTTCCTGCAATCCCTTCTCTCTGCTTGTATGAAATCAGGTGGAGAAGTTTCTTTGCACAAACTCTTGCTACCATGATGTTCTGTCTACGGTTACAGGCCAGGCAATAATGGACTGAACTGTCCAAAAACCTCAAAAATAAGTACTTCTTTCTCTTAATTCTCCCAGGTATTTTGGTCACAGCAGTGAAAAATAATTCATACACCATAATTAGACAAATTCTATAGATAAACTGAGAAACAAGAGGGCCAAGAAACAATCACTTTGACAAGAAGTTACTCATAGGTCATTTTTCAGAACACTATAGACTTGGCCAGATTAGACAGAAAAAAGTGTGTGTGTGTGGTGGGGAGGAGGGAGGGAGGCTGGGAGGGAGAGATTAAGTAGGATGAAGAAAGTTTTGTTTGTTTTTAACACAAGAGCTGAGCAAGCTACAGATGGGAAAAATGGTCAATTCTGAAATATATACAGTAATATTTGCTGTTTCTGCTGAGATATGATTAGCTCTGAGAAGAGGAGGAGCTATGGGCTCCATCTTAGTACCTGTTTGTGACAATGCTGTTGCTCCCACTTTCCCAGTCTCCTGGGGCTGATGCTCGAAGGAGCTTGTTTTTACTTGTGTCTAGTGGAACTAGCAGGTTAACCATAAGGTTTGCAAAGTGAATGGCCTGACTGAAGACAGTGCTTTCCTCATGCTGAACCAGCTCCTGCTGAGTTGACTTGCTCAGAGTGGGCCAAAGGCGAAGCTGCTCAGCTGCCAAGTCCATTGCTGTCTTCTCTTGATATTGGCCATTGGGAAGCTTAACACAGAAGAAAAAGCAAAACAAGCCAAGGGTGAATACTGGTCACTGCACATGTGCCCTACAGACATGGAAGGCGCTGAAATCCATGTCTTAAATCTAGGTCTTCTCTTGGAATATTCTGTATCTTTTAGTATAATTTTAATCAGTAAACACCATTTTTAAGGAAAATATCAAAAAATATTTGAAGATCAGGAAAATGGATTTACTTTTTAATTTTGAGAAAGGATCTCATCTTGAATTTGCTGAAATGACTGTGAACTCTTGATCCTCCTACCCTCACCTCCCAAGTGCTGGGATTACTGGTGTACGTCATCATGTTGGGAAGCATTTATTAAGTACGTGTTTCAGCAGAGTGAAACTCAGCGTAACAACTAAAGTACACTGCAGCCTCACCCCTGGACTGCATGCCTTTGTTGGCACCACATGGCAAACTCAAAGAAGCAGCAGCAAAACACAGATGCATGTTTCTCATTCCAACATCTCACTGTGTTTACACTTTCCTCTGTGGCTTTACCTCTTTGAAGCTACTATTTTCAAAAATTAACATAGATTTCCCATAAATGCCCTTGTAGGAACACTTCAGTAGTATCTGCAAAAACTGTTATTTTCTCTTCTGCTCTTTGAGAGGAAATGGAATGACCAAGGTCACAAAAAGTATAGTTAGATCTCCTTGTAAACTGATAGATTTTAATGATGGGTTTCCTAGAATGTTGAAGAGATAGTTGATAATAGCAGTTCACATCTGCACAGTATTTTATCTAGCTATGGAGAAGTAAAACATGGATTGTATCTAATCTAGAGATCAGAGATAGGACTCTTTTTCAGAATGTAGGATACAGCAGCTTTGATGATTTGCTGTATGAATGCTTTCTAGATATATCAATGTCAGCAAATCAGAGCTGCTTAAAAGTTAGCAAGGCATCCTAACAGTCTGATTATTCCTGGGTGTGGCCCAGGAAAACAGTCTCTACATCTGCTACAAGTTATACGTTAAGTGGTGCATTTAGTGTTTCAACAACAACAACAACAACAAAAAATCTGAATATTAATTAAATTAAACAAACAATTCACATTTGGACAATAACAACCAGATACACATCAATGCTATTTTTTAAAATTAAAGTTTGTATTCTCTACTTAATAATAAACCAATAATATGATGATGAAGCACACTCTCAGATGCCTAGGATAATCCATCCTATCTAGAGATAAGTAGAAGATGATTGACAGAATCTGCAGTGATATATTCCCCAAAATCTGCAGCTTAAATTGTTGATTTAAAATCACTCTTAAGTAAATCAACATTGAGTCTTTGAGACTGTTTTAAGTTTCAGTTCATGAGGATGATGATTTCTAATACTTACTATGTAATGTGTGCCAACAACTCTTAATAAGCCTTATACATATCAGACATGAAAATTCTCTCTCTCCCTCCCTCCCTCCCCCTCTCCAGCTCTCTCTCTCTCTCTCTCTCTCTCTCTCTCTCTCTCTCTCCTCCCTCCCTCCCTCCCCCTCTCCCGCTCTCTCTCTCTCTCTCTCTCTCTCTCTCTCTCTCTCTGAGACAGGGTTTCTCTGTATAGACCCAGCTGTCCTGAAACTCACTCTGTAGTACAGACTGGTATTGAACTCACAGAAATCTACCTGCCTCTGTCTCCCTGAGTGCTGGGATTAAAGGTGTGTGGCATCACCGTCCAGCCAGAAAGGAAAATCTTACAGTAGTGACAACTACACATTTTACCAATGAGGAAGTGTGGGGGTAAGGTGATTAGTCAGTAAAAGAACAGAGAGCTAGTAAACAACATTTAAAAATTGGAGTATTTTAATTTTCCTGACATTTAAATACATGTGTATATAGCAAATATTGCATATATACATATGCATGTGTGTGTATGTATGTATGTATGTATGTATGTATGTATGTATGTATGTATGTATGTATGTGTACACACACACACACACACACACACACACACACACACACACAGACAGAATAAAGGAAGACCTATTTTGGAACAGGACTACAGAATTTTACATTTATCTTTATAGTCAGTGAATTTCATTTTTTTCTTTCTTCTTCCAATGCTGGTACCTGAACTCAAGGCCTTGAGCATGCTAGGTAAAAACATTCTATCACTGAGGTAAACCTGGCATTTCTTCAAGGAAGTAAACAGTTAGAGATTTATACCTGGGTCCATTTTAGGTTTGTTCCTTCTATTCATTTTTCTTCGATTGTTTTCAAGGGATTCTCATCAAAATAGAACAAACCAATTCTAGTGATAAAGAACTATAGTATGATACCATTATTGAAAAATACAATGCCAGAATCAAAGGAAGAAAGATGCTTACCACAAGATTCCCTAACACTCAGGAACCTCTGCCTCAGGAACATCTATCTATAACTGAGCATCCCTTAAAGTCAATCCCACTCACACACAAGTACCTCTCTTCTCTTACCTTCTGCTTCAGATGTGGGGCATGATTGTCTTCCTTTGCTGAGAGATACAGGGAGCGAACCTGCTCCTGTACTGCATTGTAAAAAGTTGTCTCCCAAAACTGCTGATTTGTCCAAATGGGGTGGTCTTGTACACAGGTGTAGGCAAACTGGCTGACTCCAGGGGCAAGTTTCTGTGAGGGCATGTTATATCTATCAGCACAGTGCAGGCAGATTATACAGTTCAGAAGGTCACAGGTGCTACAGTTAATTGTAGAGGTGATAAAAGATTTCTTTAAAGACTTAGTAATTGACACTGCACTCATGTTCAACTGACAACTGTAGGCTCTATGAAATTCTTTAAAGTCTTGGCCACTTTACTTACCCATATGACAATTTTAACAGTAATTATACTTTAAATTATAGAATTAATGTAATTCAGCTGGGCGTTGGTGGTGCATGCCTTTAATCCCAGCACTGGGGAGGCAGAGGCAGGCAGATCTCTGTGAGTTTGAGACCAGCCTGGTCTACAAGAGCGACTGCCAGGATAGGCTCCAAAGCCACAGAGAAACCCTGTCACGAAAAACCAAACCAAAACAAAACAAAACAAAGAATTAATGTAATTCTTTGAATTATAGACTATACAAAAAGTAGCTACTACTCTGGTGTGTACAGAGTGGGTACTGTGCAGTTATTATAACTGGGATGCATACTAAAACCCAACACAACCTAAACATAAAACTCTAGTAACCTAAAATTTCTCTTACTTTGATTTACGATTTCTTTACATTTGTGTGTGTGTGTGTGTGTGTGTGTGTGTGTGTCTGTGTGTGCTATGGCCTGTGTTCAGAAATTGGAAGACAAGCTGTAAAAAGGTTCTCTCCTTCTACCATGTTTAAAGGTTTGCTGGCAGACATCTTCATCTACTGATCCATCTCACTAGCCCAAGAATTGTACTTAATTTTTTTGGACACAGAGTCTTATTCTCCAGCCCAGGTTGTCTCAGAACTTACTCTTCTTGCCTTAGCCTTATGAGTTCTGAGGTTACAGAAGTGCATACCACCGTTTCTGGCTTCTGTGGTTTTTTTTTTTTTTTTTTTTTGTAATTAGAAGTACAGTTTCTGATAAATTTTCTTTTTAAGCAATTTAATAAGATGAATTCTCTTCTGAAATGTTCAATACCAAAGATCATTACTGTTAAGGTTATATACATAATTATGCAGCAAAAGTTCATTTTTAGGTCTGTGTAACATAACTAAGATACCAGTAGAATGCTATGTTTGATGTAACTTCCCTCTAGATCTAGGGCATACCAACCCTAAAGTTAGAGCAAGCACCAGGTATATTATGAAATTTAGTCTTACACTTACAAGCAAGGTGACTGATTTTTCCTGCAAGAATCAATGTGTCATATATGATACAATTTCCTTTCAAGACAGGGCTGTGCACTACTTTGGAGGTGATTAGCTCTAACTCAGTTCCTCCTATAAGGTGGCTATAAATAGATGCTGACCATGATGCAGAAAGAGTGGAAAGTCATGTTTGGTTTTCATGGTGCCTCATTTGCTCACTTCAGATGTTTTCTTCCAGGGGAAATCATGTACAAAACATATGTGGTTCTGCTTTATGTGTTAGCAGAAACTACACTGAACCATGTGTCCTTCTGGACTCTGCAGACACCCAGTGAGTGGATTATACATTATTCCCTCCGCATCTTAGATCTTCACTTCAGTAACAGTGCAAAGGCTTATTCTGAATGAGACTTTATTTTACTTTGACATTTTCATACCATTATAGTTTGCTCATACTTACCTATTACTCACCATTCTCTTTCTCCCAAAATAGTTTTCCTTCTGCTTTCCTGTCGCGTGCGTGCGTGCGTGCATGCGTGCGTGCGTGCGTGTATGCTTCTTAGATTTTGCATGAGAGAAAACATGCCATACATGTCTCAAAGAGATTGTTGAAGCATAAAATTCAAATAAGATAAAGCATAATTTTGAGCTGGGTGTAGCCGCACACACCTTTAATTCTAGCACTCAGGAGGCAGAGGTAGGTGGATCTCTGTGAGGTCAAAGCCAGCTTGGTCTACAGAGTGCGCTCCAGGACAGCAATGGCTACATACTATGTAGAGATACTCTGCCTCATATTCCCTTCCCCAAAACAGAATTCTAAGTTGCCTTTCCCTTGAGTATAACTCAAGGTAGTACCATTTCTTACAAATGTAGCACACTGTCAACTATGGAAGCTCTAAATAGTCTGTAGTGTTGACACAATATGAATATAGATGAGTTCAAAAGACTGAGCTGTCTGTATGGTCTCTCAGGGTAGGTTTAAGAGATTCTCCATGAGTCTGACACTTAATTTGAAGTCATGCCTTTCTACTTAAGCATTATCCTGAGCTATGCTACATATTGCTTTTCCTGGTCACATAGCCATTGAAATAACTTTCCTGTTTACACATAAACTAGATAAATATGTATAGTGGGAAATTACCAATGGGGAGTCAGGTAGAAATATAAGGGTATTTAATAGGGAAAAGCCTTACTTACAGAGCTGTCTAGCCAGCCGGTGGGTCAGCAGCCTGTACAGCAAGCAGCAAAGAGCAACCGAAAGCGCAAACGCAGTCACACTACGTCAATCTGACCACGCCCTCACAAGCGTGTTCAGGCACCCCTGTAGCCAGCCCCTAAGTAGGCGTGACTACAGCTTCCCCTACAAATATGTAAAACTTCTCTAAATTTTTTCAATAAAATGAGACCATACATTTCTTTTTTTTCAAATATTTTCGAATACTTTATTCACACCTACTTAAATAATTAACAAGGGAAGAAATTGGGAAGGAATGGGAAAAGTGATGCAATATATTTATTTATTTTTCAAAGGCAGAAAAATGGTGTAAAAAAGAATGATAGTGGCCCAAAGAGTCAGAGTCACAGTCTGTTTTCTAGGTGAGAATTACAACAGAATGAAGGGATCATAAGATAATTTTTGTGGTAGCAAGCTAGTCTACAAATAGCTATAGCATCTACTTAAACTATGTATACGAAATCATTAATTCCCAAGCACTTAAAATATTACCTCTTTAGAGCATGAAATACACCTTCTTTCTTGGTGATTTCATGCTGTGTTCAATTTTGAGGAGGGAACATATGTCCTAGTTAGTATGGACACTGTACTGATGGATAAGTATATTCTTAGGACCAGCAGAGGGCAGTGAAACCTTTTCTGCCTAGATACCATCACAGCTTTGGCCGTTACAAAAGCAGAACTTTGTAAAAGGAATACTTCATGTCTTCACTGCCCATCTGAGACTCTGTGAGAACAGATTTGCCCAAGTCACACAGAAATAAGGTGTGTGTGTGTGTGTGTGTGTGTGTATGTATGTATGTATGTATGTATGTATGTATGTATGTATCCCATGAAGGCTTCAAACTCAGGAGTCTCCTGTTTCTGGTTAAGGTACAGTGTAATAGGATTACTGGCCTTCTCTACCACATCTGACTACACTTTCCTTAAGATACAACTATTACAATACTCTATAAAATAGAACTTTAATACAATTATGGGTAGAGATGTAATGAGACTTCTTAGGGTTTCAGATTCAGGGAACCAGTGGCAGTAGCACAGGTTTAGTAAATTGAGAAAATAAGCAACTATGGACAAAACTGTCTCTTATTCTAGTCACTTCTTTGGTTTGAAGCAAACTTATTCTGGTAAGGTTTTCCAAACTAGTCCATGTGCTTTCTTAGTGACTATCCTGAGGGTGACAGGGTAGCAATAGGGAACACTTGTCAAATGACATTTCTTTTACTTTGACTCTGGCAGAAATAGTTACTCTGCATTTCATAACACTTCTTATAATTAAGTCCTAAAGAAACAAATGACATTTTGTCAACCAATTTTGTAAGATTTTAAAAAATGTGTTGACTTCCTTCCTTATCTAGAAAAAACAGCCCTGAAGGTACTAGATTAAGCAATGCCATTCATTTTCTATAAAGCTTTCAAAAGAAACCCAGCATGAGATAGGATGTGGAGAACAGATTCATGGTGCTCATCTAACAGCAGGACCCCAATTGAAGCTCACTCGCGCACGTGCACGCGCACACACACACCCACCCACACACCACATGAGGAGATGATCAAGAGTTACTCGAGTATGTAGGAACTGTCTAAAGTCTGTTTGGCTATAAATGGTACACAGCTCCATTTAGGATTCGGAGGGAAACTACATTTCAGGGAAGGTGGCTAGCTGGTAAGTCCAGTGTCATAAACACGTAATGATCTTTAAGAGTAATGTAGAACTATCTAAGTTGTTTTATGAGTCACTGACAGAGGTACTACTTCTCACTTCAGTAACATGAGAAAACAGGCATTGCCAGCAGGTGGCAGAGCTAGAGCTGGGAATTCTTACTGTGAGAAAATATAGCATTTCTCTGTTCCAGGTGTAAGGTTGTTTCCAACTCTTTGCTACAACAGAAAATGGAGACAAACACCAAAACACAAGTCAACTGTTAATCTTGTGATAGTTTCAGTATCACTTATTGGATCAGGTATCATGTAGCTTTAGCTGACTTCAAACCTGCTATGTAGCCAAAGAGGATCTTGAACTCACAATAATCTTGCCTCCACCTAAATGTTGAGATCACAGGCTTGTGCCACTATACCTGCCCGAGTTTCAGGATTGCTTAGTGGTGTGTGGAATACTTGATAGAGGTCTCAAGAAATATGATTCCTATTGTCATCTGTATCAATAAGCATATGGGGGTCTGCTGAGCATTAGTTATCCCAATAACAAATTATTCCATGCAGAGTTTCTGCAAATTCACAATTAAAAATAGTTAACTAGAGTTGTTTAATATAAAATCTCAGTTTGGGGTTTGAATTTCCAATTGTCTTCCAAGTATAAGAAAATTCCCTTTCCCCCTCATCTTCAGTGTTACTTTTATAGTTTTTTTTTTTTTTTTAATTCAGGTAGGATCCAAATAAGGTTACATATTAGCATTAGTCTGACTACCACACGGATCAGTTCTACTCTAGTTTCTCTTGTAAGTTGGACTTTGGTGAAAAAAAAAAAAAAAAGCAGGACCATTTGTCTATTCCTATAGCAGTTGCTGACTAGCTGACTATAGTGGAGTGCTATCACTTAACATTCTTGGCCCCTGTGTCTCCTATGGATTGGCAATGTCTAATGGTCTGATTAGATTGGGGATTGTTTGGCAAG